GCTGAAATTCCCCAGCCATCAGGAGCAGGGCCCTGCATCTCTTTACATGACAAATCCACGTGTGCCCCAAGAGATCATCAGAGTTTTGTAATTGTGTATGAGGAACAAGAGCAAATAGTGACTGGCAATAAGAGAAGAATATACTGAAGAGACACTGAGATAGAAAGAGGAAACAGCATCAACCTCATCGAATGTGAGAAAAGCACATAAAAATATGGTAGATACCTAGTGGAATCATGAAATTGCTTAGGCACCTGATGCACTCCAGGAGTTGACAAGTGCCATGACTCCTCCCAGACCCTTCTGAGCTGTTTTTCTAGCCACTGAGACCATCTCTTGTCTCTGAGTTTTGAAGGTATGTCTGTAGCCTTTATATCATTCCGATTTTGCAGGCAGTCCAGCGCCAACTAGAAGAACTGGAGGAAAGACAAAGAGCTCTGGAGATTTTTGGTGTTGAACTGGAGAGAGAATTAAGAGGAGAAGCAGGTACACGAAGCAGTGCTTGTTTGTTTGGGGGTGAGATTTTTCATGTTTCAAAGCAAAGGGGTTTTAATGCTTGTCACAGAAAAAGAGTTTGGTGAAAAATCTGGAAAGAAACAATAACAGGAAGGACGAAAATCATTGCTTAACCTTTTCCTCAACCTCTGTGAGCTCAAGCACCTTTACACTGAATGCTGTAAGTTTTCTGTTGGTTATCACAGATTTGGAATTATTTACCTTCCTATTGAACCTGAATCTACGTTTTCCCACACCTCACTCTTCCTTCCCCTCCTTTTTTTTTCTTTTTTTTTTTTTTTTTTTTTTTTAAAAAAAATCTCATCCTGAGCTTAATTTCATCTTCTGGAGGGATCCAGTGTGGTTTCCAGGAGCTGTATCTCAGTTACCAAGCCAGCAGCATCCTGTGCCTAGTAACAGAGTCCTTAATGACTTCTCCTGGAGTGTGAAATGCCAGTAATATGATTAGAGTCACTGGCCATACTATAGCAGCAGCAGCATGCAGGCACACAGCCCCAAACAGCACAGGGTTTTTCCCCCAGTGGGCAGAAGATAACAGGGATGTCATCCTGGGCCCAGCCAAATGCAAGGTGAGCCTTGCTGCAGCACCAAGCACCCAGGGCTGGGGCATCTGCCACTGCTGCCCAGGACACGTGGCATGAAGCTGCAGAGACCTCCCACAGAGGGATGAGACATGTAGGAGCTCCTGCCAGGCTCAGAGTGGGGATGGGAGTGTGAGCCATGTGTGTAAGGGACTTCAGAGGGGCTGTGGTTGAGTGCTGAAGGGACTCTGGGGAGCTGACAGCCTGGGAGAAAACATGTCTTTATTCATCTTTGATTTAGAAAACTGAACCGTGTGCTTTCCTGGCAGGCAGTTGCACAATACAGAAACCTAGATATGTTTTGGCACCTGATCTTGTTGTTGCCTTAGCCAGGTGTCCCAGCCCAGTCCCTACCTGCTGCTGTTTTTAATGCTTTGCTTCATAGCAGCTATTGCCTTGCTGTGCTGACACCGAGCTAATCAGTTCAGCCAGGGGCATCAAACACTCCATCAGACTTAAATGACTATTAACATTACTAGTGACAAACATTTCACAGGCTCAGGAAAAAAAGTGCCCCTGGGAGCACCTGGGGGGCTTGCTGTGGTATGGAGGAGGAGGGAAAACAAGGGCTATTTTTATTTCAGCTTGTGCTGAGGATTTTGCTAAAATTTGCCCAAGCTGTTAAATTTATTAATTAATTTCCTAAAATTGATAGTATCATTCTACTTCACATGCTATTGAAAAGGCTAGAATCTTTCTTCTTGAATGAAAACATAACCTTTTATCACACGGCACTCACTGTACAGCCCGTGAGAAAGTCTGCGAAAAAGGCTTTGAGCTCTTGAGCATTAGCTTTTTTTCTGCTGAGTTGTATAAAGCTGGTTTGGAAACCTCAAAAAATACCCAGGGACGAGAAGCTTCTAACTTTTGGGATAGACACGGACCAGCAGGATGAATGGCCTAGAGCCATCTCTTGTTTTTGCTGTTTTGACAATTGCATTTCCTAAAGAAGGCTGTCTGCCAAGAGATCGATGCTTCTCATTCTCTTACCATCCTTAGTAATTGGATTGCCCTCATTAAGGTGAAAGTACTATTTTTTTTTCTCCCTGTTGATTGCTTGTGTGTAGGTGGCCAGCTACAAATAGGGCAGATACTGAAACGTAGGATGTTCCTGTCTCTCAGGAACTCCTCTGGTGCTCAAACATGAAGCTCAAAGTTTCCCAAACAAAACACGAGTGCTTTGTTGCTTGCAGTAACATATGTGTAATGGTGCAGGAATTGGTGGGTTTAATATTCTGTTCAGCCTTCTTAAAAATAATGAGTGTTATTGTTTAATGAATGACCAGTGTTTATTAGGTTAAGTTGTATTTAAGCAGGTCTGTGCTTATGCAATTCAAGTGATTTAATAGGTATTATTAAGGTAATTAGAAAACGATCACAGTTCAGCAATAATATTGAGCTGCAAAGGTTGTGAATAACCAAATTTAGAGGCAGGCCTGCAACACTAGTCTGCAGTGACATTTATGCAACCCTCCCCTAATAACTCGGAGAGCCTGGGATGAATGGCCCCTTTGTTAGGGGGAGTTATTCATTAGCTCCTCAGCTGAATGAGAGGAGAACATGCGTGGGTGCAAAACAACTGCCACCAAGGCTGAGGAGCAAAATGAGGCTTTGATGATCTTCTAATTGTAGTCACAACAATTCACGCATTAAAAAAAAAAACCAACAAGAAATGATATCAGTCTTATGAATAATATTTCGTACCCATTATTCCCTTTATTCTGGCTCAAAATGCTAAATATTACAATAATAAACCACTGATGTACCTTTGCTTTGTTTTGCACTGACATTTGTGGAGGCTTATGGAGATCTTCTGCCTACAAGAAAATACAGAAATAAAAATCTCGACACACGTTTTCCTCTGAAATTAGCATAACGGATCAGTTGACTAAACAAATAGTGCAGAATGATGCTAGAGGAGAAAATCTACGTTGGAAGAACGTTAAGAAATCTCTCCATGGTTTGGAAGGTGAACAAATATCTGTGCCTGTTGTAGGTACTTTTTGATTTCCTAAGAAGCATAGACAAGGTGTGTTAGAATTTTCAGGAGTCAAAAGACATTAGTTGAACACCTGTAGAGATAAGGAGTATGAGGTTTAACTGTTCCTAAAGAGGCACAAACTGGCCAAGCCCCTGTGCTGTGTGCTGACTGTGAGGAGGGACAGCACAGCATCAGTCTGGAGAGCAGGAGGTTCAGGTTTTGGGAACATTGTTCAGTAAACACTCCTCTGCAGCTTCTCATTCCCTCACAAGTGATGAAAATAGAAATGAGAACCAGGTTTGACTTTCAAGTGGATCTCAGTTAAAGGAGACCTGGGCAAGCCAGGAGGAAAGGTTTGCTTTAGCATGCTGTAAGAAAAAGCCAATGTGGCTCACAAAACAGACTCACAAAACGTTTTCCCTCTGACCTTTACAAAGATCTGTTGCACTGCATGGTGCAAAACACTTCATTGGCTTGTTGTGCCCTTTGAAGGCATCAAGGACTCTCTCAGACCTAAAAAACTACTAACATTATTAGGAACAAACATTTCGAAAGCTCAGAAAGAAAATGCCCCTGGGAGCACTTGGGGGGCATTCTGTGGTGTGGAGGAGGAGGGAAAACAAGGGCTATTTTTATTTCAGCTTGCATTGAGGATTTTGCTAAAATGAGTGGTTTTTTGACAAGTGCATTATCTTTGCTTACCTCAATCAATCTACAGTACAGAGTCTTTTATTACAGACACAGAGATGTTAAAGTGTGGTTTTTTGACAAGTGCATTATCTTTGTTTACCTCAATCAATCTACAGTCCATAGTCTTTTATTACAGACATAGAGATGTTAAAGTATAAACAGGAAAAGTTAAAAGAAGGAATATTTTTGCCTAATCAAGAAAATAACAAAAAGGGAACAGTAATCCTCTGTGTCTGTGCAGGACTGATGCACACCTGCAATGGCAATGCTTTTACCAACAGTAAAATAGATCAGAGCTTGAGCATAACTTCTTATGGTGGCACACAAAGACCTAAGGCTCTGAATATATATTCACTGGGACATATAGTTCAGCTCTGAAGTCCAGTTGCAGCAGAGGAACTATCTTATCAAAGGCAGAATTAAGGGAAAGAAAAAATGCCCATTGAAAAGAAAATCTGTATGACTATTTGAAAGGAAAAACCTTAAAGCAAAAGTGTTCTTTTAAAAATCTAATACATCTTTAACTGCAAAAAGCCACAATGTTCAGCCAAAGGTAGACAAAAATGTTACACCTGTTGTGAGTTGCATACAGCAAAACCATCTCCATTTGAACTCATGTAGGCCTACACAGGAAGACTAATGAAAGGGAACTTGATTGGCAAAAGCATTGGAAAGCAAGCTGGGAATGCACACTGAGGTCTCCTGTTTTATACAGATTCAGGCACAAAGGATGAAGCTCAGATGCTCCATGAATGGTTTGAGTTGGTTCTGGAGAAGAATAAATTAATGCGTTACGAGTCCGAGCTCCTGATTATGTAAGTAAGGACAAGCAAAGATGGGGAGGGGAGGGGGAAAAACTGTACTCAAAATACACCTGAACATCTTGCTGGGTGCTGCAGTTTGAGACAGTTGTGGAGTAAACATAGAGCAGCTTAAAATCTGTTTTGAAGATAGATTTGCAGTTGAGCCTTCCCTCTCATGGGGATTCAATTGTGTCAATCCCATATGATACTCTGAAGATGCTTTACCTTTGCTTAACATGGGTCTAGTGAACACTGGGGCACTTCCTCCTGGGGAAGAAAAATTGTCTGACAAATTCGTTGCAGTTTTTATTTTGAACACAGGAAAGAAATGTCTAGGAATTCACTACCACAGTGAAACAAGCAGATACACTAAGTGGATAAAACCCACGTCAGATGCCACTGTTGTGGTTGATGGAAACAATATTGGCTGCAGCTCCCTCACCTTGGCTCCTCTGGAAACACACT